ATAGAGTCTATAGTGATCGACAGGACTGAATGAGAAGTGGACTTGATTGATATTGGATCACAACTGGTGAGCGTTGCTTATCTTCCTTTGTTTGCAAAGGATCCATGAGAGGCTGGGAAATCTGAGATGCTGGCTATCTAATAGCAAAGAAAACAGATGTGATACTTGCCCCGGGGATCCTATGAGCTGGCTAAGATCCTGCCCTTGATCCTTCACAAAGCATCCAGGGCTAGTAGATACCTATTATAACCTGGGTAACAGTTGATCCCCAGAAAAGCCTTTGACTGAGTACTCCTGAGACCTGGAGAGAAACGCTGCCTTTTTTTTTTTTCTCAAGGAGTGGGAAGGAAGGAGAGTAAAGGTTGGGAGGGGGCAGGATCCATGCAAACAGATGAATGACAGGATCGAAGACCACACAGCAGTAGCTATGGACTTGCTTGGACCTGTTAACTTCTTAGTGCAGAACTCATCACCATGCAGGAACACAAAATGAGAATCCTGTGTAGGAATCCTAAGCTTTCATCTCTACATGAGGGAGAAACCAGCAAGGCTCCTCAGCATCTTGTGAGGTCCAGGCTGTCATCACTAAAGAAGTGAAATGCTCCTTCTTGGGGACATGTAATCTCTCCCTCCCCCTACCATTCCCCAGAAGGCAGATCACCGTCTTGGCTTAGAGCAACACAGAGTGTATATGTTACATTGCTGGTATGTGTTAGGTCTCAAACTCAAGACAAATGGCTAACTGGGATGCCTATTTAACATCTCAAAGCTGATTTTGGCCACCAGGTTCTCAGCATCATAAGTTCCTGTTATAGCGTCATCTTGGAGGATATACCCCACCCCGTAGCCTAAACGTCTCCAGCCCCCAAGCTTTGCTTCCCTTCCCCCAGCTTCTCCTTCATTTATAACAGCCATTTTTGTGAAGTGTCCTCTTGACTCCCCTCTTCTCTTGGTTTTCTCGATTGCTCCTGGCTTCTTGGCTCCTGGTTCCTCTCTCTTCACTGACTCTCCCCCCAACCCTTCCATCTTCTCATATCCCAGTTTACTCTGCTAGCCTGGTTAAGTCTAGATCTATCCAGATGCCTCTGGCTGTGTTCTTCCTCATAGCTACAATAAACCGCTTCCTTTTTTTTTTTTTCAGTTTTTCGAGACAGGGTTTCTCTGTATAGCCCTGGCCGTCCTGGAACTCACTGTGTAGACCAGGCTGGCCTCGAACTCAGAAATCTGCCTGCCTCTGCCTCCCAAGTGCTGGGATTAAAGGCGAATAAACCGCCTCCTTAACCACACCTGGTAACACTTTTTGTTCCCAGGTCCTCACTTTTTCATTCGGTATGCTACATCCTGGTGGTGAGACAGCTTTCACCCATTCCTCACAGTTAGTTGAGGGAGGGATCTATTGACTTGTAAGATGAGGCTTCTGGGGGCTCAGTAAGGCAGGTTCTTGGCCTAAGGTCCAGAGAGTAAGTTGTTGAGTCTGGAGTTCACAGCAAGATTATCTGGTTTAAAGCATTTGCTCTCCCCCGCAAAAATCAGGCTGCTGGTGTGTCTCTTTACCTTGAAGGTTATACATGGACTTTATTCTTGAGCCAGGTCTTCCCTTTGCTCACTGAGCCCTGTAGTCTTGATCTCAGCATGGTGCTGGAAGTGCTTGTGTGGACATGGGTGGAGGAATAGAAGGTTATGAAGAGGTGAGCTCAGATTTCCAGTTAAGATGTCCCTATTGAGCTAGCTGACTCTGGTTCTGGAGTGCCACCCTCTGTGAGTATAGGAATTGGCAGGGAGATCTGGGGTTCTTTGTCCCCATCCCTGTTGCTGGGTTGCCTGCTACCTACATCATTTCCAAGGGATGGCCATCTCTCTCATTTTCAAAGCCCCTTGGGGAAACGACAGTGAATGGATTTTTAATTCACTTTTAATGGCTTGTTACACAAAGCTGGAACAACCCCCTACCATTCAGCAGCCATTTTTCACAAGCTCCTTGTTTCAACAACACTATTTCCTTAATCTGCCATTTGCCTTTTTTCTTCCAGCTACTAAATTCTGTAAAGCATTTTCTAAACAATGCCCTGCTTTTAAGGATAACTAATGCTTATTTACTTCTATATGCTTTCCCTCCCTTTAATAATGGAGACATAGATAAGTGTCTCTCAGGTACATGACAGGGACAGTTTTTACATTTGGACAGTGCAGTACATGGTCTCTACCACCCACTAGTTCTACAAATATTACATTCAGTGTGGGAAGAGCACCAATCATGACGGCTGGAACTTAGTAAGTACTCAGCAAATGTTAGTGTTCCCGTCTTATTTAGCCTGCTGGCTCTTGGGCTAGTCTCATCTTCCAACTCACTCTCTTTTGCTAGAGCACTAGTGTTTACTCTGAATCCCAGCAAGGTCAGGTCCTCTCTATGAGCCCATGGAGAAGAAGCACTTTTCTAAAATTCAAGTTGCATTGGCTGTGTTCCCTTCCTGCCTCTGTATCTTTGGCCTTCTTGTGATCATTTTCGAAATTCTTTCGCAAGTCACTTTGAAATTCCCTTCTGGCAAGGCTAGGCAGACTAACACGTCTAAAGAGAATTTTGAAAATGGTAATCTCAAAAAGAAGAAATGGAAAATTATATTCTTTTCATGTCTTATCACTCACACTTCTTATTCTCCATGAGGGTGCTTTGACCATCTTGGCCAAGGCTCGTGTTCTTCTGTGAGAACCACCTTCACTTCAACAGAGACACGGAATCTCTCTTGATTGGTACTGTGCTGTGGAGAGTGCTAAGCTTGTCATATTTGTCACATTACAGTGAGGAAAACGGGGCTCATGCCAAGGAGGGTCACTGAAGGTCACAGTAGAAAATCACATACAAGCAGAAAATTATAATAGCAGTGAACACCGTAATTGCACATGTATGCAGTTGGCTAGGGGAGTTGGGATTTAGGGGGAACCATTTCTGTTTGGAGAGGAGCAATGAGACCTGAGGGAGCTGAAAATATTCACAATGAAACTTGAGGAGAAGATCAGGAGGAGAGAAAGGCAGAGTGACCTCTGAGGAGGGAGAAGATATGTAAAAAAGGCATAAGAGGATGAAATGGGGAAGGGATTGGTATGACAAATGTGGTGGGGTTTAGAAGTCATCCTGGGAAACTGATTCCAGAGGAGGCGTAAAAATGACAGTGGGTCAGGTTGGAAAGTTCTTTCTACTCTCATGCTTAGGAAAGCAGCTTGACCTTGGAATTTACTTTTGGCATTAGAGAACTGGTTTTAGATCTCCATGGATAGGACATTCTGGTAGAATACTGGATGGGGATGGGATGATGGGGATGGGGATGGGGATGGGGATGGGGATGATGGGGATGGGGATGGGGATGGGGATGGAAGATTAGAAACCGAGTAAGGAGTCAGATCCAAGACTTTGCCGTCATCTCCTAGCTAGACCGATGATGCTTTTATGTGAGCGTTTTACATGGCAGATAACCCCTCAATTCTAGAAATACTTTCTTTACAAGGCCTGCAGTGCCTGTACATACCTGGGCTCTCTGGATCTTCCAGCCTGAGTACATGACAGAAGAGATTAAATGCAAGGAGAGTTCATAATTCAGAAGAGCATGGACCAGAAGTGTAGCACCGTGTCACAGTCAGTAGCTATGAGAATCACTGCACATTGCGCAGAGACAGAGGAAGAAGGGCTGAAAGTTGAGAGTCTCTCCCACCCAGGATCCCCTTACCCAAGCTTCTACCATGCATGCTGAAGTGCCTGAGAGGAAGTTAGGAGCCTCTTCTACATCTTTATCAGATCTGTGTTGTCTCCAGAAACTGGATTCATGGAGGGAGTGGCTTACTACCACCAGCCAAAACTGGAGGTTAGCTTACTGTGCAGGGCAGGATGGGACTGAGAGAAAGCCCAGAGAGAGCAAGCACAGCCTGCAAATTTGACTACAGGGAGCATCCTTTTCAACCCTCTGTTCTGATGGGCTGTTGGGCTTCAGGCTAATGTAATGTAATGGTTTTTTTTTTAGACCAGAAGATTGCTTTCACTGTCTTCTAAGGAAGTGATACATGAAGTCCTATTAGTTGTTGTGGCTTCTCTGGGTGATATTAATTACTTTTGCAGTCCTGTCAGAATCCTTTGTGGTTAGTCTGTGCATTAAAATAGTTGAGATGTTAACTACCACCTGAATAAATCAAAGAATACATGGAGAAGAGAAAAAAAATTATGGAATCTGTCTATCTCTCTCTATCTCTCTCTCTCTCTCTCTGTCTCTCTATTTCTATCTATCTATCTATCTATCTATCTATCTATCTATCTATCTATCATCTATCTACTTATCTATCTATCTATCTATCATCTATCTATCTATCTATCATCTATCTATCTATCTATCTATCTATCATCTATCTATCTATCTATCTATCTATCTATCTATCTATCATCTATCTATCTATCTATCATCTATCTATCATCTATCTATCTATCTATCTATCTATCTATCTATCTATCTATCTATTTATCTATCATCTATCAGTTATCACCATCATTTATTTATCCATATACCCACACATTTTCTTATAAAACAAAGAAGGAAAGTATGCATAGTGGCTGTGATATTGATTTCCATCACTGACCGTGAAGTCACAGCCGGTGAGCCAGCTCAACTCTTTTCTTCAGCCAGTCTCATGTTTCCTTTGCCCTTAGCCGCGCCTCAGGTGTTCAGCATTTCAAGCTGGTAGCACGATCTTATAATCCAAAGCCTCATTTCTGAAGGATCTGAGTTCTTAATAGTTTTCTTTTATTACTGCAGTCTCCCATTAACTTTTACTTCAGGACTTGAAAATAATAAGAGGACTTGAAATTAATTAGAGGATAATACCAATTAGAGGCTTTGAACATCATTCTCCTTGGGTTCATTGTACAATAGCATCCATTTCCCCTTGAGAACAGGAACAGATCACCCCAGCTAGTAGATAACCCCTTCTTTGCTTCAGATGGATAAAGACTGCAATCTCCAATACTTACCTGGCAGGGGAGATACCATGATCACGAAGGTGGTTTCCCCAGGGCGAGGCTAACCCATTGCACTCAGGGTGTGCTGACGTCTGCGATTTCCCCATATGTGGCAAACTAGATTGCATAATTTGTGGTAGTGAGGGACTGTGTTTACGCTCTTCCCTGTTGAAAAAAAAAGTAAGACTGCAATCTCCAGTACGATGAAACAGTTGCTTTGTCTCATGGTGATGCCATCCTGGAAAACCTAACCTACTCTATCAACAAAGCCTAGAGCTGGGGGCAAGAAGAAAATATTGTGTGATGACTACATGCTTAACAATGATATCATTAACCCTATTCTTGATTCTTGATTTTCAAGCCTCTTAGAAGATAACATCATAATCTCATGCAGGTTTGGGCTCCAGGCTGTGTTGCCATTGTGTCTTCAGAAGTCTTCAAACCTTGGTATCAGGCCAGCTGCTTCTGGTGGTCAGGTCTAGGTATTGCCAGTAAACTCCACAGACTCCTCTTCATCTGTGGTGGCATGAGCTCCTTGGTGGAAGCCACGCTGTATGGGGCACATGACAGTGAGAAGAGAATTGGGGGATGAAGGTTTCAGTTCTGCTACAGTTGATTTGGGAGAGATAGCAGTTCCCATGATACATTTTGGCCTCTCCAGTTTAGGAGGGGTAATCTGTAGCCAGCCTGTCATCGGGTGCTACATGGAATTTGGGCTTAGTTGGCTTCTTGTGTTGGCAAGTTGGGGTGTAGAAGTTGTATAACTTTACCTCTTCGTGAGGAGGTCCATCAGCTGAGACAAAGCCTCTTCTGTCTATATCCCAATGGCTGTTTCTTACAGGTTCCTCCAGACAGTCAGAAGTGTTGCAGACACATATCACATGGCTTCAGAAAAGAGGCTTCTGTGTACCTGGTTTCTAAAAGTCTTCTCATAGTAAATATCATTTTGTCATTCTCTTCTCCCCTCCCCCCACCAAGACTCAGATACCCCTGTGCCAATTTGAGTGTCTAGTCAAGATTGGTTATCTTGTTGAATTGCTTCACCTTTGAAGCCTCATAGAGACAATATCCATGCCTGGGTCTGGTCGCACCTTTCTTAACACTGTCTGATGATCTCTGACATCTCCAAGTTATGTTTTCAGGCTGGCCTAGCCACTCTTAGCTCTAAACTCAGATATCCAGCTTAATGTGTGATTCTTTTGCATTGCGGTATCTCTCAAGCATCTCAAAGGTACTGCTCAATGCTAACCTGATCTTTCCTCCAAAACCTCCTAGGGTCCTCACCTTACACAGCAGTTCCCTGCTTCCAGTGTCTCAAGCCCAGATGCTGATGTTTTCTTTGACTAAGCTCTCTTAATTATACTTTGTTATCCAGTTCTCAGTGAATATTTTTTTTTGGCTTTGTCCTTAAGTACATTCTGATCCAGCCTCTCCTCATTCTCTTCCCTCCCTGCCTTTGCTCAGGCTCAGCCCACACCATATTTCACCTGGGTGGTTACGCTTGGTTCCAAATTCACCTTTGTTCCCCCACTGCCTTTTTGCACAGCACCCGGAATATTCTGTTAGAATTTAAATCTCCCCTTTACATTTCCAGTATCTTCTGTTTTGACTTAGAGTAAGAACCAAAGTCCTTATAGTGGTTCAGTATGTTCAGTGAGACCTTGACCTCTGGGGCCTTTCTTGAATTCATCTCCTAGGACTATTCCTCATACTTCTCCAGTTTCCATAATCATCTTTGAATCTTCTGAGCAGACTCCTGCCTCAGGACCTTTGCATTGACTTATTTATCTTTCTGTGATGTTTATCATCAGAGATGCACATAAGTAGCATCTTATCTCACCTCATTGAGAAGATTGTGCAGATGCCAGTTTGCTATCAAAGTTCTTGTCTGGACTTCTATTTGCTTTCGCCACTTCGTGCCCTCAGGACCATTGTGCTTGTCACCAGTGTTTCATGCCTTGCTGGCACAATCATTCCTCCTGCTTGGTATTCTTAACCTTCTGACTGCTGTCATTGGCTACTTACTTATCTTCTTAGTTAGAATATAAACTTCCTGAGGAACAAGAAGGTGCTTCACTTTCTTCTTTACTGAATCCGTTATAGAGGAATTATACTGATTCCCTTATTAACGAAGGAATGACAAATGATGTAACCCAGAAATGGGGCATGTCAGTGGACTGTGATACATTTCAGAAATCTCAATGTTCCTTCTGCAGTGTGTAGGATAAGGAATGATTCAAGCATCACATAGAATTTTTCTATTAAGCCCCAGCATCATTACCACCTGAATGAACTAGGGAGAGTGTCTCACAGTTTTTCAAAATGTCACACATCATATGTGTAGTGATGACATTGCAATCTTTTTGTGGTAATTAGTTCTCTATCCTCCCGACTGGACTCTAAACTCACGGGAGGCAACATCACCATTTGTTTTATTCTGCACATGAAGCGAGTACCTAGACAGCTGTGTACAGTGAAGTCAGTTTGGGATCTGGATAAGGATGTGTTTCTATTCCCTGGAGGTTGAGGCTCCCCCTTGTGGGAGGAGATGCTGAGATGTACAGTTATGTTGGGACTTAAAGTACATGCTTGCAAGCATTTCCGAAGAAGTTTATGTTCAGTATCTCATTTACATTCCATGGCTAATTGCTCTTGGTAAAGAAAACCAGCAGGTCCCTGTCCTAATTAGCAAGGAGAGAAGAACTCTCTTGTTGGGGGAAGGGCAGGGTGGTATAGTTTACTTTACACCCTATTCCCCTGTGGTATTATGAATTGAATTAGGGGCTTTTGAAATGTTCTTTCCATGAGCAGTGAACCTAGTTATCCCTTTAAAATTATTTTAAGGTAGGTCCTCACTTAGCTGTCCAGGCTGCACTGTACTCACCATGAAACCCAAACTGACCTTGAATTTGTGATCCTCTATCCCAGCCTCCCAAGTAACCTATCATTACAGATTCATGACACTGCCCCTGCCTGTCCTGTGTGTTCACTTCTGAGCATATCGCTCCTGTACTGAGCCAATAGTTCCTTTAGTTAAAAGGCTCCAAATACAAAGAAATGTAAAGAGATGAAAATGTTCATTACTTGGATTGATCAGCACATAGTGTGTGAAAGCATACAGAATCTTGATGCGCTCTTTATAGATATGCAGTTATTCTATTTAATTGAGAAGGAGGGGAAGAAATAGAAAGACCTAAAGGAAGAAAGAAAGAAAAAGAGGAAAGAAAAAAGGAAGGAAGAAAGGAAAGAGGATGGGAGGGAGGGGAAGAGGAGGACAGGAATTTAAAGGAATCAAGCTTTCAGGAAGGTTTAATGAACTAAAGTAATTTTCCTTCTGAGTAAAATTTTACAGGCATTAAATGTTCTCACTCCACTGACTGTGCTCACAGGCGAGAATGTCTTAGTGATTTATGAATTTGCAGATTATGCTTTATCCTTTCAGAGGACAGGAATCCCCTGGGGCTTCCCGCCTGCCTTTCTGAGCTGAGCTGACTGGAGTGGCCAGGTAAAGGCAGTGTCTGGGATCTGCAGTCTTCTGTGTTTCCACTGGGCTCTAGAGCAATGGGCATTTAAAAAAGGGTGTTTAGCAACTCTGGAATCTGAATTGTCTCCAACCAAAAAAAGATGTATCTTTATCCATTGCTCTGTCCCTCAAATCATGTCTCCAATGCAGCTGTCAGACTCCAAGTGAAAGCGTAAGCTACTTCCATAGAGCAAGCATTCGACAATGGGATACAGTTAATATAGACATGGGAAAAGTTACGAGGATTCTTAGATGCAAAGAGATACAGTTTCTGAGCCTGGGTGTTTCCTCTCATACAGAGTATATGTGAACAGGGTAGAAAGCCCCTCACTTCAAAAGTCTCTGGCAACCTTGCTTAGGGTCTGGGGCCCTTAGTTCCACTATAGATGACACTGGAAGGCAGCAAGTAAAGCAGACTCTGAACTTAATGACAATAGGAACCGTTGTTCTTTTAGTCACTTTATCTCTAGCAGAGGGAAGGAATGGATGAGTGGGAGAAGGAAGAATGACAATGACATTCATTGCTGGCACTGTGTGTCTGTGGCTTGTGTGAGCCTCCGGGAACATCAGAAGACATGAGAATGAAGATGGTAGATGTGAGTGGGCAAGCAGGATAGTGCCAAGGACAGCTATGTCCTCTGTTGCTCTCTTACCACACAGTGACAGATTTGCAGGTATGAATGCTTCCTTATTACAGTGTGTTATGTTCGTTATATACAATGTACTACAATTTTTCTTTGATAAAACATCCCCCTTAACTCACAAGGATCACACCAGCCTATGATTATTTTCTTCTTGTTCTTCTAGTGTATTCCATGCCTTATCTCCTTCTCTAAGAAGGATTTCCATGCATAGCACCTGATGCAGGTTTGGCCCTCTGTTTCACAGCCGGTACAGCCTACCTCTTAGCTGTTTGCCACTCTTGCGTCCACTCTTCCTATCCTATTCTATATTCATTTTATCTACTGTAAGTTAAAGGGCTTGAAGTAGGTGAGCAAGAGAGCAAGCAAAGGCCGTTAAGATGTATTAAGATTCTCACCATATATGAAGCCCAGCACCTACAGCCTTTCCACCATGTGGAGGCTTTGCTAATTACAGTCTCTGGATGTAACTGCTTCCTCTTCTCTGTTATCTCTACTTCTCTCTATGAGGTGTTTATCGTGCCATCTCTTTACTGTCGTACATTTATAATCCATCCAAAGGACCTTGGCTAGTGCCTGCCATGTGTGAGGCTGTGTGCTTGGCACTGTACATGCACAGTGGAATGAGCTGAGACTTTTTTTTTCACCTTAGAAAGATCACAGGCTTACAGAGAAGATGGGTATACAGGGAAGTCACACTGACCCTAACAGAAGTCTGGGGCATGAGGGGACCGAATGATAGTCTAGGGATGTCAGGTGCCATTTTAGATAAGGTTGTCTGTGCTGGTATCTTCATATATGTGAGATTCTCTGCTATATTTAGGCACATGAATTTCTCTAATATTTTGTATGTGCGCTTGGATGCATACAGCTTATGAGAAGGAAGAAGTGCTATTTATTCATAAATTATTCCAATTTCTTTTCATTTATTTTATTACCCCAAATCCTCCAAGGATTTTAGCCAGTTAGGTCAAAAGATACTTATTTGACAGTATGCAAGAAACCTTGTCTCCTGGAAGTTTGTCTAGTTATTTTCTCTGCACACACCTTTGTTTTCTACTTTTTTTACTCCAAAAGGAAAGAGAACCAAAGTTATTGTTACCTCCAGGCCTTGAGCTGCTATACTCTCTCTATGATTTCCAGAACTTAGCTGGTGTCTTTCCAGTTCCAAAAGGTGTTCTGCAAACATTCACAGAGTCCATGAATGCATGATAAACTCCCTGAGGGTATGAAGACTTTTTAATTCTCTTTCTCTTTCCCTCCCTCCTTCCCTCCCTCCCCTCACCCCCACCTCTACCTTGAACATGAGCCTTGTAGTACTGGCCACAAAAATATTAGAGCAGAACTAACAAACTAACAAGGCTGACTCAGGGTCTGGTGGGACCTTGCCTCTGGCCATCTGAGGGACAGGGGTTTTGCTTCACCCTGGATGTCTGTCTCCTCATTTGCAAAATAGAGATACAATGTTTGCCCTGTCCCAAAGGTTTGATGTAGGTAGAGCTTCCTTTAATATTTGACCTCTGCTTTCCTGTATTTGTGTTTAGCTGCTATGCCCATTCTTCTAGAGCAGTCTCTGGAGGTACAGCTATGGCGCTGTAGTCCATCCAGAGTATGCATCTTGTCTGTTCCTGGGCACGTTTCTCTCTTTTTCTCTGATCTGAATGCTTGCTCAGCAGTCTGGAGCTTATTAGGTGGTTTGCTGTGTTGATGTTCAGTCTTCTCTGGTAATTTCCTCTTTCCCGGAGGCTGTTGAAAGGCTCTGAATGATAAGAGAGGCCAAGGACGGGAAGGCTTGTTTTCCTTTGCTCTTGATTTTGTTTGCTTATTGCAGATGTTATAAGCCTAAAGGTTACATTATCATCCCTTCATAGCTCTATTGATGTTCGCCTGTGTTGGGCTCCAGGGAAAAGGAAACTTCTAGCTCTTTATATCATGTTTTGACCTTTCCTTGGAGGACACTGGTGGGACTATTTCCTACTTGGTTTATTAAATTACATCTCTCCAAATCAAAGGAAGGACTGCATGTCCAGATCAGGGTCTCACTGTGATGGAACGGGTGGCAGCATTACAGCACACAACTGGCGGAAGAGTTAAGGGTAATGGGATCTTTCTCAAAGTTTGAGTCTCTGGCTGCCCTAGGGAGCACTCTGGATATTGCCCAGGTTGTACTGAATCCAACTCTCTGGGGGCGAGTCCAGTAAATATACATTTACCAAGCCCTTTTTGCTCTCCTCATGACTTTAAGCTCCAGCATTACTCATGGAACCCAAAGAGCACCACCCTGGAGCTCTTAGTCAAGTCCAATCACTGTAAAGTATCCCCCACATGTTCCGTGGGTCTCGGCAGGCTGAATTCTGGGAACTTCTACCAAAACTATCAATATTTGTTGTTGGCGCAGGAGCTCTTACTGCATAAGAACCTTCAAAGTGCTGGGCCTGGTTGCAAAGAGAACGGAGAGGCAAAACATCCACTTTCAACTTGTTCAGAGTCTATTCGATAGGGCAACTGGTGTAATACCCAGGAACTGGCAAGATTGTGTTAACTGGAAAATAATATGACTCAATTAGAAACAAAAGAGAACTTTGGAGGAGAGAAAGCTAATAGAATAATCCCGGGAGGCCAGATGAGGAGAGTGGACTCTGATCTGTTCCCTGAGCAGCAGGAGGAAGGTTCAGAGCAACAAAAGAACAGTCAGTGACGTAAGAAGGAGGACCGAGGAAGCAGAGATGTGAGCATGGCTAGCCAAGCTGGGAGACCCTGGAAACCCAGATGGATTACAGTAGAGGGCAGGGTTTGGAAACAAAGAAAAATGACCAAGAGTATGTTTGGGATGTGCTGTGGAGGACCTGAAAATGCCAGCATCAAGTGTCTGGGTTTGTGCTTGTGTAGAGAGGACCAGTAAAAAGTTCTAATTAAGGAAGTATCTAAGTTAGGAGAGCAAATAGAACTCATCTACAAGGAAAGCAGAAATAAAAACTGTAAAAAGATATGTTGGTTAGGACCCTCCAGTTAGCAGGCCCAAAGCTAAGATCTGATAAGAGGAACTCATTAGGAAAAACACCCATGAAAGAAAGAAGACAGGACCTGGGAGAGATAGGTGACTCCTGGATCGAGCAGCAGTGTGACCTCACAGAAAATAGTCAAGTCACGAAGGAAGGTCAGCTGGGGCTGCCATGCAGTTCTGAGCAAAGTTCAGTCTATTAGTGAACGTCAGAGTTAGTGTGATTCATTAAGGAAGTCCCATATCACTGGGAAATGACTTGGTGTCCCTATTGCCCTTGGTCATTGACTGGAAGTAGCCTTTGGGAGGTGTAGACTTGGCAAGCAGGGATCAGTGACTGCTGCTGCGTCCCCACTGTGGTCTGTGTGGAGGAATGGTAGCTTATCGTCCCATAACCCTGCAGAGAGTGATTCACCTTGATCTTGCACATCCTGACTTCTTCCTGGTTGTATTGGTGATCTTCTTTTTATCAGACTTGTCATGAGTGCCCACAGGTGTTTATGATTTTACACTATGATTTTGACAATGGCTGCATGGGTAAAAGGAAGGATAGAAGGTAGAAAGTGCTGGTGTGTGTATGTGTGTGTGTGTGTGTGTGTGTGTGTGTATGTGTGTGTGTCTGGGCTTGTCTGTGTTAATGTTCAAAAGGCAGAAATTCTATGGTTCATGTTGGACATTTGGTTAATAGGGATAAATCCTGGGACTTCCTTAATCACTGGATTTAATAAAAACTAAACCAGCTATGGATGAGAGAGACCAGGGCTACCAAGTGACCCTGGAGTATAATGTGTCGTGTATGCTACATGTCCCTTGCTCCTGTGCTGTAGTAGCATACATGTGGCTTGGAAGATTTTTTAATTCCACACACATCCATGCTGTGCTTATAACTGAACACCTTCCTGTGAGAAGCCCGAGGCCTCCCATTTTTACAGAGAAACTGAATGTCACAAGTCAACCTTGCATGGAGACCTTTTGGCCCATAATAGGCCATCATCTCCTTCCTTCAGCTTCATCCTTTACATAGAAGAAACGGAGATAGGCCTGACTGGCCCCATGGCGTGCTGAATGAGAATAAATCTCCAAGAGAACACTTTGTTGTGAGTTAAATGCCATAAAATGTTCGATATAATGGCTGATTATTTTTCTTAAATCTTAAATGGATATCTAGAATGGGAAAGTCCCATCCTGGAAGAAGAAATTAATTATCTCAGGGATCGTTTAATAGCTGCTGTGCAAATGAGTTGGAGGGAGTCAAACTGTGGATGGGAAGGAGTGGAGAAAAGCGAAATGAGATGTGTATTAAATTTAGATAAACACAATCCTATGCAACAGGATGCATGTATTACTCACCTGCAGGTTGCTGCACCTTACAAAAGGGACATGGGCACTTGACGTTCTTGTAGACAGAGTGCCATGTTTAAGCCTCTGTCCAGGCAGATGTCAGGACATGGGATTGCCTGGTACTCAGATTCTCAGCTGCAGAAATAAGAAGAGCAGTGGGACAGATCAGACAGCCCAAGACCGGTTCTGGTTGTACACTAATCATATCTGAGACAATTCTAGCTTTCTGGGTTTCCTGACTTTAACAGGAGACAGGAAGAGAGTCCCAGAGTCTGGTGAAGTCCATTGACCTGCTTACTGAGAGCTGGAGGCAGTTGCCATATGATCAGTGGTAGGCAACATCAGGGAACATTGGGGACTGAACCTGCTGCCATTCAGGTGTTTGTGTGAATAAAACACAAAGTCGCTTTGAAGGAGTTGACCCAGTTCTTTCTTAGACTTTTAGAAACTGTTTTGGACATCAGAGTCTTTTTGAGATCAAACAAGAGGGGGTGGTTCTCTGATCTCTGGGTGGCCTTGGTAGTGAAGAAAACCAGCTGGACTGGGCCTGACCTTGCAGAAGGACAGATGTGTAGGGACCACTGCTAGTGAACAATTAATTCCTCTTGGCATGTTTTATTTGAAATGCAAAGCACCATCAGGATTAAAATAAATGCTACCAGTTACTGGGGGTACATTAAATTAATAATTTCTTCCCCCTTGTTAGATCCTATAATACTCCTCAAACTCAGCAGATAAAATGCTAAGCCCTCCTCTGGGTGATACTAGATGTGATATGTACTGCTCTACAAACTAAAGTAAGCTTCCTTTCCCCCTTTGTTCCTCTTCTCTTCCCTCACCCCTACCCCTTGCAGGTCATACTGATCCTGACGAAGCTCTATGACTTCAATCTGGGGAGTGTGACTGAGAGTTCTCTGTGGAGGTAAGTGAATTAAACCATCTTAAAGCTGCCTTCGCTGCTTTGTCTGGGGAGAAATGTAAGCCAGACAATCGAGAAGACTGTTTTGGAAGGAATACAGGACTTGTCTCTTCAGTGCCCTAGGTGTGAACAAACTGTAGCCTGCCGCTCTTTAGGACTTGCAGTTCTCTTAGTGCTTCGTTGCTTCTGCAGGCCTGCAGTGTCTAATTCTACTTGGTGAAGCAGGGCTAGTCAGAGATAGAGAAAAAAAAAACATTCCCTTAAGAAGCAAAGGCTCTTGTTTAGGGAGACTGCTACTGGCCCAAGGGATCCTTGCACTGGCTGTGAATCTGGCTCAGGAGCGTCTGTAGCACTTGAAAGGTGCTGTGGTATTCAAGAAGCCAGTGGCTATGTAGGCAGAACAGATTCTCATCTGCATGGTGGCGTTCACGCTTCCCATAGAATGCTACTAATTTTATTTTGTATTACACTGTAACATGAAATATTATAATGAGTAAAAAGACCGATGTCTTTTATTTTCTTTTTATTTATTTTTCTCACATACAATACATCCCAACCTCAGCCTCCCCTCCCTCCACTCCTCCCAGTGTCCCTCCCACCTCACCTCCTTTCTCCCCTACATCCATTGCTCCTTTGTTTCCTGTAAGAGAAGAACAGACCTCCAGTGATATCAACAGAAGACAGCATACCAAGATGCAAGAAGACTGGTCACCTCCCCTCGTATCAAGGCTGGATGAGGCAGCCCAGTAGGAGGAAAAGGGTCCTGAGAGCAGGCAAAAGAATCAGAGACAGCCCCCTCCTCATGTTGTAAGGAGTCCCATAAAAACACCATACTAAATAACCAGAGTATGTACCATGCTTCATGATTACCACCTCAGTCTCTGTGAGCCCAGATGAGCCCTGCTTAGTTGATTCTAAGGGCTGTGTTCTCTTTGTGTCCTCGATCCCTCTGGCTCCTACAATCTGTCTTAACAGCTCATATTAAAACATATTTTTTTCAGCTCAAAGGTTGATTTGCTCATTTTTTATTTTAAAAGAAGTTAAAACATTGGGCCCAAGAGAGTTCTATGAATTGGATGCACTGTACCCCTTGTCCCTAAGAGGATAAGAAGGGCAACTTGATGACAGTCATGGGGCACATGGGGCATGACGGAGAAGGGCTGGGAGCATATGAAGACTCTGACTTTAGTTTTGATGCTAGGAGTTCCTCTGGATGAGGAGCAGGTGTGTACGAACCCTTAAGCCTCCTTTCATACCCTGTATACTCACAAGCACACGGGCATGCAGTCGCACACCGGGCCACAGCAAGCAGCATCAGTTGCTGTGACTTAGAACCTTGTGCTGTGTGCTTACTGCTGCAGGCCTGGAGGACTTGTGCGCTTCCTCTCATTTTCTCTGCAGAGTGTCAACACTGGGGAGGACGCTTCCAAAAACAGAAGCTACTTATCTGGCTGCTGCAGCACCCAATGCCATGTCCTGAGGGCTACCCGGGGTCTTGTTGCAGGGAGTCTGGAGTATGAGATGTCTCATTATCTGCCTGCAAGCTTGTTGAAGGCTAGTCGGAGCAGATCTCACTGAAAAGGGAGTCAGTTAAATTAAAGTTTTGGAGCTAGCTTATCAGATGGCAGAGGCCTGCCTCCTTTTGAATAGGTGGTACTGAATTTTGCTGTTCAGTGAAAGTTGGCAAAGGTGTAAGTTATTTCCACCTCTAGCAGTTGAGAGCCAGGAAAATTCTACTCATGCAGTTCTGCCTCAGAATTAGAGCCCAGAAGCCTTTCCTAAAGCCCCCAAACAGAGATGCTGCGTGATACTATAAGCCTCATTCCTGTGCAGTCGGTTTGGTCCAATCACAAAAGCAGTCAGTAAATCCCGGCTTTATGTTTGGAAACACCTATGCTCCACACTCTGTGTTTTCAAAAAGGTTTGGCTGGTTCCAAGAATGACCCAGGCAAATCCAGAGAACGTGGCCCAGGAGCTTGATGATACAGTTTCTGAAGTAGTGAAGTGTTCCCTGAGGTGAGAGCAGCTAAGTGCTATGTTAGACACAATATACAACCCATCCACTCCAGACACCCTTATATCCAATTGCTAGAGTTTAAGTGTAGGTTTGTGCACTGAGTGAACTCTGAAACTCAACCTTTGGGCTCTTTATTTAGCCTCTGTGTGTAAGATTCCTGGGGCTACCACAACAAATGACCCCGCATGGGTGGCTTAAAGCTGCAGACCCTTGCTGGGGCAGTGGTAGCACATGCAGAGGTAGGTGGATTTCTGAGTTCGAGGCCAGCCTGGTCTACAGAGCGAGCTCCAGGACTGCCAGGGTTACACAGAGAAACCCTGTCTCAAACAACAACAACAACAACAACAACAACAACAAAACTAATAATAATAATATAAAATAGATACTAAAAAAAAAGCTGTAGACCCTTATTCTCTCTGTTCTGTACTCTACAAGCCTGAGGTTAAGGTAGTATTAGGGTTTCACTCCACCCTGGAGACTTTAGCTTTAGGGAGAAAAATTTCCTCATGTTTTTCAGTGTTTGGAGGCTGCTCACAGACCTCATAAGCTCATCCCTCCAATCCTGACTTCATCTTCACCTGACGATCTCCTGTGTCAAGACTCCCCACCACATCCCTGATCATGGCTCTGTCCTTAGATCAAGGCCTCCACTTGGGTAATATGAGGTGACTTTATTTCATGATCTGTAGTGGCACTAGCAAAGATGCCTCTTGAAAAGTATACAGTGTAAGGACCAGGACTGGGTCCATGTTTTATCACAACCCACCATCCAATACCACAGTGATCTCTAAGATGCAGTTTCTTTACATAGACGCTTCGGAGAGTACAGAACACATTTGTGCCCTTGGTAGGTTTTGCTTGTGGTTCTTCAATCACAAACACCACATAGTTCCCTGGAGTGACTATGCTCATCCCCTTCTAGGTTTAGAGTCCCAGGGCTCAGGGAGTCCTTCTTTCCTTCCCCCACTCTGATTAAAAGACCCCAGTCTTGGAGTCTTTATTCTAGAAGTTCACATTTCATTGCCTGGCTACCTTGTCCTTTCCAGTATTTAATCACTATTTGGCATGTTAAATATTTACTTATTGATTTATTTATTGCCTACAGACAACCACTAATGTCTAGGCTTTAGAGAGGGGAAGGCTTGCTTATTTTATTTATTTATTTTTTTAAAATATCCACTTAATGCTATGCCCCCAGCACCTAGAGGAGAACCTAGCACTCAAGAGGTGTTTAATACATGTTTGCTCAAGGAATGAATTAGTGGATGACTTGTAAGGATTAAATAACAGCGTAAAACCACTTAGGACGGTAACGGGTACGGTATAGGAAGCCCTTACTCTGTTGTCATTGTTAACGATTATAAAAGCCCTGCGTGTTTGTATAGCTTTGCATTTTCACTATTGACTTAGCATTTAGGGATCCATGGCTGCAGGGTCTCCTGTGAGGGAACTTCTGGGCCATTGCAGGGTATTTTCTGTGTCCTTTAGTAATTAGTAGTGACCTTAAGGATTAAGACAGGAGTTAAGGAGGGAGGAGAGTGTCCGGAGTGTTGTTCCTTGGGTTTTCTGGGGGAAATCAGAATATTGATGTGTACTTTGTTAGAGATTTTTTTTGTATGTGAAAGCTTTGTTGGTCTACAGGTGAAGAGGGGACCAAGCAAGAGGTAAATTGCGAGATGGGGTGGCATGGGGACCCACCCAATTATCCAAAGGGGCCCAGCCCCAGGCTTGTTCTTCCCGTGCAGTAAACAGAGAATGCACTCCATATTTTGTGACATTCTGAGGATTTGTAGAGATTTATGGGCTTTGCCTGTGGATACATGTCAGATAAGGATTTTTTTTTTGTTGGATTTCAGGGTTTTCTCATGTTGATACAACCCACCTTAGAAGTTCAGCGCTACAACATGAATGAAAAGGATGCCAGTCCTAAAATTTTGCAGGCTTTCCTAGTTTGTTGGGGCCACTGAAGAGTTCAAGCATTTTACAGTCCTCTCCACTTGTCTCCAAGCTCCCTTAGTTCTCACTGTCTTTTCCTGTACAGAGTTTACCATTAGAGCCCAGAACACTCTGATTTTACTCCTTAACCCAATGGACTGATAAGAAGAAACTAAATTAAACATTCGTCCTTTCAACTTCCTGCTTTGGTTTACTGTGCTTAACCATGTTCAATGAGAACTTGGTGAATTTATGGGTGATGGAGAAGCCCTGGGGTAACAGATGTGTTGATGGAATGACACCCCTTGCTACATTTCAGTGGGATGGGGTGGTTTGCTCTCACTGGGGTAATAATTCAGAGGGCCTCTACCTCTTAAAAAAAAGTAAAAGTTGAAGGCATCCACGGTTCCATGCCTTGAGGGATTTCTTTTGCCATTCTTTGGTGTTGTTAAGCTAGGGGTAGAAATAGTTTTTGTCCAGTAACACTGGGATGGCTGTGTGTAAAGCTGTCATTTAGTACAAATGTCTGATGATCTCAAAGGACACAGCATTGTTCACAGTATTGGAGTTCAAGTGCAAAGAATCGATGACTCAGGACTGATTTTTTTTTTGAGACACAATGCTCCCCCTGAAAGATCCGGGTCATGAGACTGATGAGGAACTTTCCTGGATGGTGCTGGGAGATTCTTTTTCAATGTTGTTGTCCTAAGAGGAATTCTCCACTTGAGACAACTGTCCTATACCTGTCTTCCACATTTCCAACTCATTTGGGGTGTGGGTGCTGTAGACTGACAAGAAGAGACTTTCTGGGTAATCCACATGGGGCCCTGCTTTTGTGACATTTCTATGTGCCTCTGCACATACGGCTACCCTTGCCTCATTTGGAGTTACTTTAAGTTGTTTGGAGAAGTTAAACTCTCATAAAACCAGGTAATTCACTGCTGGAGCTTGAAATATTTGGTTTTAAATATATGTCATGCTCAAGAGTTGTGTTTTGGCACGTTTGATTTGTCCATCCTTAGTGTAGTCTCTGACAAAGGTCCCTGAGGGT